ACAACATTGCACACTGGGCCAGGAACTGAAATTAGCAAGACAAAACCTCTAGCGCATTGGGTTTGCATTATATTGAAATGGTGTCTTTGGCAAAGTTTCTCGGTTTAACATGCGCCTTCATCTGGCAATGGAAATTAGTTCCAATTTTATCCGCATAGATGGTGCTGCGATACTAACTTTCTTATCTCACATGCTAGAGGTTTTGTGTCTTGGGCAAAGTTGTAGAACATTAAAAAATATTAAAAAAAATGCTGAAGAACTCAAAGCTCTAGGTCTTTAAACAACAAAGATATAGTGAATATTGTAAAATGTAACTGAAATTTACGTTTTTTGTACTATTTTCCATACAAACGACAAATCCTTCATTTTTAACGCAGTGTATCTTTTAAGTCGGATAATTTGCAAGTTTCAAGGAAGAGTTCTCAATGTTTTGGGTCGATACAAGCGAAATATTAGCCAAAATAGTGAAAATTACCATGATTTTCATAATCTGGTTCCTCGAAAAGTAGCAACTTTTAGCAAAAAGTCATTTACTTTCTGAAATGTACCATTTATCATCAATCAAAGGTGAAAGTTTGCCGGACATATAATTTTATATATTTGAGATATCTGAATTCATAGACTACAATGTTTATTCAAGCAGCGTTCGCCAACGCCTGGCTTGCTGGCTGCATGCGATGGAAACGATGGAATATGTCTCTTATGCTTCGCTAGCTGCACGTTATCAGAAAATATCGGGAGTACCATTCTCGACAATTCAGTCGTCTTGCAAAAATCGAGGACGTATTCCATCGACTTTTGCTGACCTCTGACCCGGTGATGACAGTGCAGAAACAGTTTCCTCAGACCAAGAAAAAGCAATTTCCAGGACCCGTGCAAATGCGGTTGCAATAATCGACAATGCAAGATAACAGGTAGTTGTTAGAGTTAAAAAAAATATTTTGAATCAAGATATCTCATCACACATTAGTACAGCGTTCGCCAACGTGCAGCTAGCGAAGCATAAGAGACATATTCTATCGTTTCCATCGCATGCAGCCAGCAAGCCGTGCGTTGGCGAACGCTGCTTGAATAAACATTGTAGTCTATGAATTCAGATATCTCAAATATATAAAATTATATGTCCGGCAAACTTTCACCTTTGATTGATGATAAATGGTACATTTCAGAAAGTAAATGACTTTTTGCTAAAAGTTGCTACTTTTCGAGACACCGGATTATGAAAATCATGGTAATTTTCACTATTTTGGCTAATATTTCGCTTGTATCGACCCAAAACATTGAGAACTCTTCCTTGAAACTTGCAAATTATCCGACTTAAACGATACACTGCGTTAAAAATGAAGGGTTTGTCGTTTGTATGGGAAATAGTACAAAAAACGTAAATTTCAGTTAAATTTTACAATATTCACTATATCTTTGTTGTTTAAAGACCTAGAACTTTGAGTTCTTCAGCATTTTTTTTAATATTTTTTAATGTTCTACAACTTTGCCGAAGACACAAAACCTCTAGCATGTGAGATAAGAAAGTTTGTATCGCAGCACCATCTATGCGGATAAATTTGGAACTAATTTCCATTGCCAGATGAAGAAGCATGTTAAACCGAGAAACTTTGCCAAATACACCATTTCAATATAATGCAAACCAAATGCGCTAGAGGTTTTGTCTTGCTAATTACGGTTCCTGTCCCAGTGTGCATTGGTGTTTATGGTGCGTAAAAAGAGAACAAAATCAAGGCTACTATGTCACACTGCAGAGTACAGTGTTGCCCACAATACAGTTGCCTAATCTTGCCATAATATTATCAATCTCTTTAACAATTGATAACTATTTAATTTGACGTTTCGCTGAAAAAAGATCTCCTGCAAAGTTGTAGCTGATAAAAATTCCCATAAGAATGGCAATAGAATTTGTTAACAGTACAATATGTAAAATGGCTAGAAGACTATTTGTTTTCCCATTGTAATTTCCAAATGGTTTTTGCCAAGTCAGTTTGTTATCAAATGAGTTTAAACTTAAAGAGGCTAATCAGGACCGGATTTGAAACCATTTGAACACTGTGGAGCAAAAATTTCAAATTTTGCATCAGTCTAGTGGACATACCGTACCAAACGCTCCATTTATTTTTATTTTTTGTTTTCTTAAACCGCAACTAGCACACCAGCACAGATTTAAATAATCCATAACGTCCTGTTTACATTATGCTACTTTTTAGAACAGTTCTAGTACACTAGCGCTAGTACACCAGCGTATATAAACAACACATAATGGGATATTCACACTTATGCTAGTTCTCTAGCTCCGCCAGCTCAATCAACTAGCACGGATTTCAGTTGTTCCTGAAATCTCATGCTGGTTGATGCTGACGCCCTGTTTACATTATGCTGTCTACTTTTTAGTGCAGCGGGTCCGGATTAGTCTCCCTTGTAACTTTGGGTTAGAAACAGACTACGCCCAAGCCATTTGAAGTTTACATGTAAATTACTATGGGAAATCTCAACTTTTTGTTAGTTGCCTTCTAGTCTATTTGCATATTGAGCTGCGAAACAGTTCGATAGCCATTCTTATAGAAAATTTTCTCAGCTACAACTTTGCTGAAGATCGTTTCTATGTAAAACATGACAGGAAAAAGTTATTAATTATTTAAGAGATTGGTAAACTTATGACATGATCAAGCAGCTGCTCTGTAGGCAACACTGTATTTTGCAGTGTGACATAGTAGCCTTGATTTTTGTGTCCTATTCAACGCCCCAGAAACACCAATGTTGCCTGCTGAGCAGTTGATTGAGCATGATCATAAGACATCAGCGCATTGAACCATTGATAACTTTAGATCCTTGCATTTAATCAAAAAGTGGTCTTGAGCAAAGTTGTAGCTGGGAAAATTTCCCAGTTTTTCAAGCAGACCGATATGGTGAATTATTAGATAGACATAAACAAAAATCTTGGTTTTACCATAGTAATTCCCATAGAAGTAACGTCAAACGGAACAAACTTTAAATGGTTTGTGCCATCTCAGTTTCTCACCAAATGGGTTCAAATTTTGAGAGGTTAGTCAGGATCCGATTTGGAATCGTTTAAGTATTGTGGAGCGAAAATTTCAAATTTTGCATCACTCTACTGTGTACATATGCGCTGGTTCATAATGTTGATTAACCAAAATTGGTGTAATCCGTTCAAGTTTTAACAGAAATTGATGCGCCAATGTTAATCAGCGCCGAAAAATTGTTTACATTATGCTTATACACGTATTTTGCTCTACAGACTGTAGACTTCTTCATTGTCTTGTGTTAGTACTCAGTTGTAAGTTGCTGAGTTCAGCAGTTCAGCGATCAAGCCAGAAGTTCTGGATATATTCTTTACCACAAACCCGAGAACTGATGTTACTGTAATAGGCTTTTTGATCTAATTTCCGTCCTACTAAGCACAACCCACGCTTTCCCACGGGTTTTAACAATAAATCAAATGTTTCTGTCAAAGATGACTTCTAAATGTATTCCCCTTTCCATACGTACCGTTGAATTTGATAAAGAACCACACATTGTTGAGATATTGTTAAAAATCTAACACTGCGCCGGCGCCGGTGGTGTAGTGGTAAGCGTGACTGCTTTCTAACACCCCAATGGGTCTGGGTTCAATCCCAGCCGAGGTCGGTGGGATTTTTCTGAGGCATAAAAATCTCTGGTCACGTCTTCCTTCGGAAGGGAAGTAAAGCCGTTGGTCCCGGCCCATGTGTGGTTGAATGGGTGCGATATCCTACGCAGGTGTGGAAGCTGCCTTCCTGCACATTCGATTGCCGTCAATGGATGGCAATCGATGTCCGTCGGTGATTGGCACTAGATTGCGGAACAGAGACCGACGTTAAATAAAGGAATTAAAAAAAAAAAAAAAAAGTTGGAAGGGTTGTATACTAGATACGACCGCAGGGTTGGCGTTGGATAACGTCTGTTATGTGTTGTACTTAATTGTGTATATTATATTTTAGGAATATTCCTTAATAACTCTTTTGCGAAAGTTTGGTGGCCCTGAAAAGGGCCGTTTTGTTGGGCTGATGTTGTTGGGTTTACTCTACTCTGTCGCCCTGGAGGAGCTTTGGAATGATGTTGGTAGTTCGAAGACAGACAGCATCTCCCCTTCCAGCGTTCCCACACCCCAGTACAGTCCCCAAATTTAAGTGTAACCACAGACAAACAGACGTAACTCTTTGAAAAACTTGTTCTTGAAAACATAGTATCTCAAAACATATAACTTCAGTAACGACATCTATCTGGCTTCTCGCGGAAAACAAGCTTGCCCGCTAACTCGTAAACAATATTGCATAAAATTTCTATAGAATATATAGAAACGTCAAAGTGATCCGATGCCAGCGCTGCCGCGAGTAGTTCGCGGAACTGATAATATTCAAATCAACCGTTAAATGCATGAACGAAGATACACAATGAAGAGTTACGTCTGTTTGTCTGTGGTGTAACTGTGATATTCTGGAAAGAAATTATCTTCAAAACTAACTCTTTGTCGAATTATTGGTGGCCCTGAAAAGGCCCGTTTTGGTTGTGGTTTTGGAATGATAGACTGAATAAATGATTATGTTTGAAAAATTTCAGTTTTTGCTCCGATCAACAACCATACGGGGCAATATGAGCACCCCAGTCAAAGTTAAGGTTTTGACAGGTTTTCACTAGAAAATAACATGCAGGAATCAAGTGAAATAGAAACATAAGTTCTTTTAGCAACAGTTACGTGTATTGCTCGCTGTAGAACCAGCGGATCAGTAAAATGAAATATGGTGAATGCGATGCTTGTTTTCTTGACTGCATATCTTATAATATTCTAGAGATTTTGAGCTAATGTTACATTTCCCTATTATCTTAGACATGTAATTGAATTTTGATACGGTTTTCATGGAGATTCATATTAGAAGCATTTTCAACAAGTTTGTAAAAAAATAGATTGAGTTAATTGGTATTATGCCCAAACGAACGGTGGCCCATCTCGCCCCGTATGGTCTTCTTGCCCCCATCGCCTCTATTGGACTGAATTCGGAAACGCTCATGTCCAACCGGTTTTCATTTTGGGCTGGAAATTCTCTAAAGCAACATATTTAAAAAATCTGGGAAAATCCGGAACATAATTAAAAATTCTTGAAATAAACGTAATAACATATAAGTGAATTATATCTGGGTAAGTATCTGGCAAGACGATTGAAAATCTGGAAAATCAAATAAATCAGGAATACTGGCAACGCTGTCTCGTTTCATGCCCGTAGAGACAACCGACACTCCTCCCATTTTCAGTATTTTGCTACCCACAGTATTTATTGTACCGTCCCTGTATTCATAATATGCTACTCGACGCAGGTATAAAACCACCCTCGACGGTCGAAATGTCATCATTACAGTTTCAGCGTTCATCTGCTCGTGTCATTCGTATATCAGATCACCTTTTTTACATTTAAATATGTCTGGACGTGGAAAAGGAGGTAAAGTCAAGGGAAAGGCAAAGTCCCGTTCGAGCCGCGCTGGATTGCAGTTTCCAGTCGGTCGTATTCACCGTCTACTCCGAAAGGGCAACTATGCCGAGCGTGTTGGAGCCGGTGCCCCCGTCTACCTGGCTGCCGTGATGGAGTATCTGGCCGCTGAAGTTCTCGAGTTGGCAGGAAATGCCGCCCGTGACAACAAGAAAACCCGAATTATCCCACGTCACCTGCAGTTGGCCATCCGCAACGACGAAGAACTGAACAAACTTCTTTCCGGAGTGACCATCGCTCAGGGTGGTGTCCTGCCAAACATCCAGGCCGTCCTATTGCCCAAGAAGACCGAAAAGAAGGCCTAAATTCGATCGAAGTTCCCACCCTTTAACAAAATCCGTCCTTTTCAGGACGACCAATTTGATGGTAAAGAGTTTTGTTTTCAAAACAGTTTCCTTCGTGGTGCGCAAGGAGTGATAAAATGAATCCATTAAAAACATGGTTGAATCTTTCTGTCATGCTCTCCCTAGTTAATGGATATCCTCATCGAGTAGGTTCGATGATGGTTGATTAGTGTAGAATGATTTCCAAGAAATTAACCAGTGCAGTGTTATCATTCAATCCATATCTAAAATTAAACTGACTAAATTTTCAATAGCGCCCTAATATATCCATCAGTACCGTCCCAACGACGCGTTCATATAGATAAGATTGGTAAATAGCAGATTTTTAGCGATGGGCCCAATCTTAGATCCATTTCCCCTACCTTGCAGAGCTGCGGTGGCCCTGGACTTATGGCCTACATTAATGCAGCGGAATGAAATTCAATATTTTGATTGCCGAAGCATACACTCAAAAAGTTTACCACATGGATGAAAACCCACCACAAAATCACATGAATATCATGAGGCCGATGAAAGTCATATGAAAAAAGTGTCGGAAAGGCATTAGAAAATTAATCGTTAAACTCTATCTTGATAATGTTGTGGCCCTGAAAAGGGCCATTTTTCCAACACGCTCGGCGTAGTTGCCCTTGCGGAGCATACGGTGAATACGACCGACTGAGAACTGCAGCAGCTGGCCATTCCATGACGGCGGCCCAGTATACCGGAGCACTGGCACCAACCCACCCGGCGTAGTTGCCGTTTCGCCCCCAGGCTCTGCTGCCGTTGCTCTGCTTCCGCTGCTCTGGTACAGCTGCTCTGCTGCTCTGCTGCTGGTTCGACGATCGGATAGACAATGATGGAACGGGCGACCTTGTTGGACGCTTATATAGTAGAACAGAAAATATCAGAGGTGTCAGATACTCGCATCTGATGTCTCGGTTGGAGAAAGTATAAGAATATAAAAAAAATCAATCGATTTTCACCATTTTTAGACAATGGTTTACTTTTAACCATTTTTCAATAGTTTACAGAATGAAATCAATATTTTTGAAACATTCAGCAAATTGCTAGAAATATTTCCAATCGATTGATGCTATTATCTCGTAAATCTATCGAGAGACGGTTAAGTTATTATGGTTCAAAATCTTTTAATTTTTCGTAACGCATCCAAAATGACTGTTTTCAATTTTGTACCCCCGTATGTTGCCGAAAGACGTTATCCAACGTCAAAAAAAAATCTAACACTGCTTCTTGATTCCAAATTCGTGCAACGAGTTTCAATTCCGTCCAAACACATTGAAACGCCATTGGATTTTCTTCGTCCTATGGATGAAGGTAGAAAAAGCAAGTTCGCTAGGAGCGCCTCTTGTGTTTTGAGAACAATGAGTGCACATATTCTCACAATACGCTCTAATAGGCTTTGTGTTGTAGCTTGTGAACTAACGCATCGGTACAAACGTATTACTGATCTGTGCACGATGAAATCATTGATTATACTGATGTTTTCTGCTCGATAGAACGGATAGTAGCGATCTACCCTACACGATAAAAAGTTGTCACATCTTATCCAAATGCTCGTGCACTTGACTCAGTCTGTCCTGCGGCACTACGAATCGAAGTGATTTATCATTGATTTTCAAGTGATTTGAGTTTTAAAACAAAGTGATTTGTCGTTGCAAAATATGTACTGTATAACACCTTTAAATCGAAATGATTATCATTTAAATTGGCACCGAACATTCATCCATTTAATTTTATTAGTTTTGCTTTTGGAAGCATATCAAGCTGAACATTGCATTAGGTCCTAAGTAACATTGATCGATTCTCTGCGTCGACTTCCTTTTTCGTTAATAACTTGAGCTCATAACCGTTTCTTGTTGCGTTTGTCGTATAAGATGCTAGATAAAAGCTTCTTTTATCGATCTGTGTGCTGAAAATACCTGGTAATGTATTTACATGGCCGTAGGGATACAAAGAGAAAGTCGACGAAGAGAATCTTTCAATGTTACTTAGGACCTAATGCAATGTTCAGCTTGAAATATCAAAAACGCACATGCCAAACATTACTCGCGAAGATGGCAATTTAACAATAAATTAACTAAAAGCAAGAAAGCGATAATTCTCCATTCCCACCCGAAATAATTAGCATTCTAGAGCACAACTATTACGAAATTGTTGCTGTATTCAATAAAAGTGTATTATTCAGATAAGTTCTATTACAAAACATTGTCAAACTTATCAAATTGATTGCTCAATGTTAAATCTACAAACAGCCTTGTAATGTTGTTCAATATCACTTGGATATATGTGATCTGGATAGTAATATGATATATGTTCTATGGTCATATTCTGAATAACACATAACAAGGCTTGCAGTATGAACAAGGCAATATAATATTTAAATCCATATTCAGCAAACATGAAATCCAAGGATAAATTAATTAAATTAGTGATTGATTTTTAATATCAGTATGCTTGACATTTCGAGTTCAAAGGACAACACATCAACAACGATGTGCATTACAATTTAAAATTAAGTGATTTTCTGTTGATTTAACCGTGCTTCGATATGATCTCTTCCAAGGGATTTGCACATTGATTTGCAATATTTGGCAAGTAGTGCAAATTTAACAGCAAATCGCTTTACATAAACATGATGCTTTTTTAACGGTAAACAATTTAAAAATAAGAAACAACGCAGTTTTGAAAACATACGAACATTTGTCTCGAAAATGATTTCACTTAAGGTTCAATTTACTTTGATGCTTTTTGGAAAATTTCAAAAGCAGTTTTTTCCGACGCATTATTTCAGATTGCAAAAAGCTCGCACTATTCGATTCCTTTTGATATTTTACACAAAATGACACGAGCTTTTTGCAATCTAAAATGATGCGTCGAAAAAAAATACTTTTAAATTTAAAAAAAATGCATTCCATGTCTCAATCCTGCTTCAGTGAAACACCATCACTTTCATCCGAAAAATCCTGTAGTGTCTCCTTACTATAAGGAGCTCGCTTGCCCGATTCGCCGAATCGAATCCAATATACGACAAAACAATCACCGAAAGGCATTAAAATTGAGTGCTCTTCACACTACCCCAGTCTAGTGCCCGTTTAGAACCGCTCACATCTGCCGCATTACCACCTTTTCGCCGGAGCACTCCCATCTCCTCCGTAAAACATTATCATCATCACATTGCACAAACCTTTCCCGAGAGAATAAGTTAATTACGATCTTATTCTCATCCCACTCACTCACTCTCACTCATACCCTCTCCAACGTCGTTCGTTGGTAACAGCTCAGCAACCACATTAGCACTCGCTCGCTCGCTCGCTCGTTCGCTTGCTCGCACTGTTCAAACAAAGGGAAGAGCAAAGCTGAGCTGGAATAAAGAAAAAAAAAGCAACTAAACGAGCAAGCAAGCGAGCGAGTGGAAAAAAAAGAGGCATCCAGCATAAAACTAAAGAAGCAATAACGGCGAAAATTAAGTAATGACAGATAAATGTACGTCACGTTCCATGATTTTGCTTATGTTCAGCAGTTTTTTTTCTTTCCCTTCTTCATCGTTGTTGTGTGCTGGTTTGTTGATTCCGTCAACTCTTGGTATTGGTGTTATGTGCCTCTCTAGCACCAACACATTCGGAAAACAAAGCAAAAGCTTTCCCTCGATTAAGGGGGCGTGGCTAACACCTGTCTCAACTACTACCAACAAACGACTTCGAAAGTGGCCCGCCGCTTTTTCGAACTTCGAAAATAACACTTGGTGGTGTGAGTGCCGTCACTTGCAACTGAAGCAAAAGCTTTCGCCTCGATATTAAATAAATGGTGTTGTAATGGAATCTGCAGGCCACGCCTCTTTGCAACGCTTCGAAACGCACAATTTGCGCTGATTGTATGCATTTACTGCCTGATGCTTGGCTGACAGTTTGGGAAAGACGTCGTCGTGCGGTTTACCAGTGTTGGCATGTAGCTACATTTTACGATTACTTTTGCTTCTTTTCGGTCTTTAAGGAGAAGAAACGTTCGCTTCAAGTTGGGAAAGTGTCACTTGGAACGAGTTTTCTGGTGCGCTTTAATTTTCTGTTGGACGATTATTTTCTCACCTTTCGATTACGGTTAAACGATTGCGCCGGCCGTGCCTTGGGTGAAATCTTGATAGGTTGCGAGTGTTCCATTAAATGGGAGATCGGTTCATTCAGATTCGATTTCTTTGCTTGCTAATTGGGTGGAACGGTAAATCCAAATTTCGAATCTTACAAATTCAATCACGATTTTTGCTAATCAGTCGATGTGAGTGATGACGCATTTTTGGGTTTCTCAGCTCTTGGAAGGCCGCAAGTAATGGCTTCTGAAGTCCTAATAAGTCTATCATTTTCGTTGAATGAGGTTTACGTGTGTCGTATGTTAACGAGCACATGAAAGGCTGCAATGACTGTGAGTTGAGGTCACATTGCCAATTAGGCCCAGAATGATCCTGCATCGCGCGTTTTATTAAGCAGTTATGCCAGTTTAGTCCTCTATTTACTGAACCGAATTTTAGCTGTGTAGTAGATTTTAAACCTAATATACATATACCTTTGGGGCAGCTTAAATTCAATTAAATAAATAACTACAAAATGAGTACGCGCTGAAAAAATGGCAAAATAGATTGATTTCTTTGACACTACGCTGTCAAAAAAAAACCGATGATCCCAGCACCAAAACTTACCTCCCTTAAACAGATTCGTTCGAAATATAAAGTATTAGGATCAACACTCAAAATTGTATGCTTAAATTAAATTGTAAAGTAATAAAACAATCGTATCTTTAAAGGCTGGTAAAATGTATTCATACAAATGAAAAGGTACGATTATATCATTGCAATAATCACTAATGATTGTAAACATCCTCATCAAAGAAAACTAGAGCATCAAAATAAACGGGTCTGAGGTAAAGCAGCAAAAGCATATTCGATCGTTTGACTTGATATTGATCAGTTTTTTTTTATTT